ATAGTTATCTTTTTATTAACGTAACATTGTGTCTTACATAAATTATACATAGATTACGTATATAGATACATACATACATAGATTACATAGATACATACATAGAAAATTGCTAGATAGTTTTATGAGTTGATCACGAGCAAAAAAATTTGTAATTTGTAAAAGAAATGAAGCTGAAAATAGTAAAAAAAATAGTGAAAATTGTGAAAAAAAGAATACACATGTTATACAAATATAAGAGACAATCAACACTTTGATTTTTAATTTAAACTAACTATTTTAGAATCTGCATATGCAAAAATGAAAATTATTACTATTATTAAATTGAAAAGAAAAAAAGATATATTTTCATTAAATTTAAATAATGAAAAAAGCAGACATTTTTATTCTATAATATATTTATTATTTTTACCAAACAAAAATTAATTGATAATTACAATTGTTAATTTTTTTTTGTGGATTTATCAAGAATTTGGTGCATTTCCAATTATTATCTATATATACTGTTTGTTATTATAAGAAATATATAATAAGAAAAAATATTGAATATTGGAAACAATAACGTAAAGCGAGGACGCTCCAGCAATGAGTCTTAATATCTAGAACTCTTCGGAAAGGGAGTTAACACGCTTATCGTGCGCAAAACGTGATCGTTGAAATGATAAAAGAAAAAATGAATCTGACTCAGGAGAGCAAATGTAATCACTGTTTGTCACGAACAGCAACGCATTCAACAGGTTAAAGCAACACATTAAAAAGAATGCGAATTTATTCGCATGCTTAAAAATCTCTTTCGTTTCTCGTGAATTCGGTCACGATATTTCACCGGGATGAACAGTACCAGATACCAGCGAATAAAATAGTAACACGTTAATCTTCTTCTCGCGTGTTCGTGAAAATAAATGTAGAAATGTGCTACACATTTACTACTACAGTTTTCTAACGTTACGTGAATAATTTAGTTTTCTTTTTCCTTGCAGGCGTTATTTATTAAGAATTCTCGGGGATTTATGTCAGTTAAATCTTGCTGAAGTTAAAAGCCATAATCTCTTTTAGATTTTTAAATTTGTCTATATATTTCTAATTTATATGTAATCGGTAATTTATTGAAATCTGTTATAGAAATGTCTTGGAAATGCAGAAGTTGAAAAAGACTCGAAAACTTTCTTTTTCTTTAATAAATAAATAAATAAATTCTTTAATAAATAAAAGCAACGATGTATGTATAACAGAGAATAAATAAATATTGGTATTTTCGGTTATTAAACGGAATCTTATATTTAATAATTTAACTTTTATGAATTTTGTACACTTTGCACTTATACACTTCGTGTTTCTAAACTTTGCTTATTTCTTTATTTTTTGTTAAACAAGATTACTTCCAAACTTTGCCACAATTCTGTAAGTGAAAAATATAATGATAAATATAAAACTTTGGCAAGTTTCTGCAGAATACACGAGTTATAAACAATTGATCGTTTAAGATTCTCGAAACGTCTTCAATTCAAAGTGATTGAAACTACCCCGTTTTCACCTTCGATATAAAAGCGGTGTAATTAGAAGCGAGACGCACGAGGCAGGCCGTAACGTTGAAAAGACGCGCACAATCGCGGCACGCTTTGTGTGTAACGCACGTATGTAAATTTGACCCGAGGGATTCGCCGATATATCGCCTGATTTAATTTGTTGCAATTAGGGCCAAGGGTCGCTCGAGCGTGCATCGATGCGGGATAGACAAGCGAATCGCATAGAAAGAGAGAAATTTGAGAGAGAAAGAGAGAGACAGAGAGAGAGAGAGAGAGAGAGAGAGAGAGAGAGAGAGAGAGCGCGCGCGCGCGCGCGTGTGTGTGTGTATGTGTGTATGTGTGGTGTGTGTGGTGAGAAAGAGAGAGAGAGAAAGAGGAAGAGCAGTCTCCACCCGTGGCTCACCGCGCCCTGCTATTAATATCAGTTAACGACCCGATATGATCACTCGTCTATACCCAGACAGCAGCGGCCGTTTGAGCCGAGTCATGACTCGAACCATCGTCGACGCGCAGATCGCAGATTCGACCGTGATTCGAGCTCATCGATCGTGAGCTGACTCACCGGATTCACCTCAACTCATAATTTCGCGAATTCTAGTACGCAGTTAGCTAATCCTGTCGCGGCTCTTAAATAATTCGCGCTAACGTTAATCCTTCTAGGAATCTAGCGCCACACGGAAGAAGCAATTTTGCTGGAAAAATCTAAAAATTTAGCCAAATATAGATCTGAAGATAATTTTGTTGGACCATCCAGAGACTTAAACATAATAATAATATTGCAAATATTTTTTATATTCTAGCAACCAATTTGAACGTTATATATAATAATTTTGAAGGCCCAAGGAAATTATTTCCAAATCTGTATCTGGTATCAAATGTTCCGATTCCCGTGCAAACATTAGATATTGCATAGAAAGGAAGAAAATAAATCGAAACAAACAGTAGATATTAAAAATGATATCTACAATCTAAAGCGATATATGTATAACTTTAAAGATAAACTTTAAAGGCCACATATCTTTTTATTTCTATCGCAACTTTTACGTTTCAGATATATATATATATATATATATATATATATATATACATTTTTTGAATTTTTATATTCGCGATCACGTGAGAGATATTCTGGCAATAGCAAATCCGTTTGCGATACGCAAGAAAACGTCATAGGGCCGTTATGGCAGTGGCATACGTACCGATAGCAATGGGCGATACGGAGCGGGTTCTATCTAGCAGACATCCGGCCAGCATCGAAACAAGCCGACCGCGCGCGGATTACCATAAGCATTTATATATGCGCCAGCGCATTATACTTGCATACCCGTCGGGCGAAGGTGCCCCGTTGTCGACGACGGTAGCGCCTCGTATTAGACGCGGGTACCGCACAGGGGATGCGTGTAGGTGCCCATCAGGCCTGGCTACTTACTTACGTGTACCAGCCGGCCTCACGAGCCGCTGGCACGCGAGCCTGATTGACTTGTAGATGAGGCGACACAGTCGATATACTCCGGACTCTATACCGTCCGGCCTTTGGAAACAGCCCCCTAGTCGCCAACCTCCCCGTAGTACCATGGTTCGCCAACGAGGATTCTCATAGTCGGCCCATGGTTATGCCGTATCCCCTCGCCCTCTCGCGATGTTCTCCATCTCGCGTCTCCGATATATTCCTCTCGTTCGTCATTCTCTCGCTCTATCTAACTGTTTCTCCTTTCCCTCCTCCTCCCCCTCTCTCTCTCTCTCTCTCTCTCTCTCTCCTCCTCCTCCCTCCTCCTCTCTCTCTCTCTCTCTCTCTCTCTCTCTCTCTCTCTCTCTCTCTCTCTCTCTCTCTATCTCTTTCACCCTTTTTATCCGCTCTCCTCGCCCTCTTTCGCAGCCACCGACCGTTATCTAGTTAATTAATCTCCGCCGACGACGGTAGTCGACTAGCGGGGCGGTAAAACTCCCACCGTCGCTACCGCCGTAACGAGCCGCGGCGACGAAAGTGTCGAGCGGCCGCGACCACCCCCTGGTCTCCGACACTCCGTTCGCCGGTGTGGCATTACCCTTCTTTCGCTTGGAAATTTTAATTACAGCGAAAGAAAAACGGACAGGTCTCGTTAGAGTCCGGACAAGTATAGAAAGTTTGCAAGTATTCAAGAGAGTTTGGAGACTCGATGGAAAAAGCTATGGTATTCAGTGAATGGTTTAGTGAGGTACGTCATTTTGAGATTTTGGTGAACGTAATTTAACTGCTAAAACGAATGTAGATAGATTATGTAGGTAGAATAATTGAATTGGACATCTGTGTTTCAATTCTTTTTCGTTTGAGTGGCTAACTTCGAAATTCACAGGATAATTAGCAGCAGTAATTATTACAAAATGACTGATTTACTTAATTTTAGAAAAGCTGTATACAAAGATAAAATAATTAATTTTAAATAAACTTTTCTGTAATAAGAAAATTTAATTTAAATTTATGATAAAATGATTAAAATTAATGATAAAAATGATGAATTTTCCAATGATAAAAAAATCCAATGATAAAAGAAAGTAAAGAGATAGCTTTGTACTAAAGTATTTTTCTAAGAGAGGATATTTACAATTAAAAATTGGTGCTCTATTAATTTAAAAGATTTAAAAGATATTCCACATATCCAAAAATTTCTAATATGATTATATATAATGGAATTTTATTCCCACAAATAAATATTAGTTATTTATTTTGAGAATTTAATATTAGATTCAATTTTTTTGTTGCTTTCCAATTCTGCGATTCGCATTCGCATCTTAATTTATATCCCTTCTGTTGGTTATTATTCCAAACATATAAACGGTATGATCGTTTCGAAAACTGTATCAGTAGAACTTGATAAGGGTAACTGGATAAGGGTAACTCAGACTGACTATGTAAAAACCATCCCTAAGCAGTTACCTACGATATTTCTTACCATGTAGGGGTAGAAATTTATTGATTTCAACAATGGTTGGTCTACCGATCGGACAGTCAGAATTTCACGCAAATTTGATCCGTAGACATTACAGAACTAAGTTTTTAACAATCCCAGTTCTTTAAATACTTAAAAATTTTTCAAATTATATTGGCAATACACATTACTTTCTTATAATAATCTTTATTAAAGAATTTTTTAAATAATTTAGTTAAATAATTAAAAAACTCTTCAACCAGATCCAAAAAAATATCTGATTCAAATAAGAATCTCAATCAATTTTACTCAAACAACTATCTTTTAATTATAAAAAAAGAATTAGTGCCGAAATAATTAAATAAACTATTACAGATTTGTTAATCCCAAAGATCATCATTTTACCCTCGAGAACGAGAATATCGATTCGTTAAACTACCCCGAAAGCCTCCGCGTCATTCGCACAGATGTCCGCGAGCGTCGTCATTGCGGTTGGCGTCGCCGCCGCCTCCACCGTCGACGTCGACGCTAGGCGTCACGACGGCGTCGGCAGCGTCGGCGGTGGTGGCGCACACGCTGCTCCCCCTGATGCGGGGTGGGCAAGAGTATTGATTGGTTGCCGTGGTCGCCGTCGTCGTAGGCGCCGTGCAAAAGGGTGGCGGAATCGCCAGGCGCCATCACGCGGGCCCGCCGCGACCGTGTCGTCGAGAAGGGCGTCCAGCCAGCGTCCGGCCGCGGTCTCGACTCGCCGAAAAGATGGTCATGATGGCTGGCATGGACGACCATGAGCGCAAAGTCGTTCTCGAGTTCTGTCATCTGCTCGAGAAGAGCAAGCAGCTGTTCAACGGGCTGCGCGACCTGCCGCAATACGGGCATAAGCAGTGGCAGGGTTATTTCGGGCGGACCTTCGACGTCTACACGAAGCTGTGGAAGTTCCAGCAACAGCACAGGTGAGTGATAAAGATAAACGGGAGTAAAGAGGAGAGAAAGGGAAAGAGGGACAACGTGCGCGTGTGTTAACGGGTCTGCTTGTGTACGCGAAAAAGCGAGGGAAATAAATGACTTTGGTGGTGAGGTTTCCCTGATCCCATCTTGGAGCACATCTGGTAGCGATTTTTTGCACCGAATTAACTTCATCCAGAGGGATGATCCAGAGGGAGCGTTTCTGAAAGATTCGCCGAGAGGAGACGAGAAAAATGTCTGACAAGTATTCGCAGCGAGAAATTGTGTTGACTCGAACCTGCCTGAACTCATAGGTGTATGATTCAGCGATTTTCGTCGATTTTCTTTGAATGACTTCCATGTTCATCCGCGATTTCTCTCGATCCAATAGAAACAGGCATGTTCGACTCGACAGTGCCAATGGTGGCGCTCGACGAGGCATGCCGCAAGATTATGACCATCGTAGAAAATATCGATGTCCTTCTTAGCGTTTTGATGTAGAGTGCGATATTTTTTAGCACGCGAATGTTCGCGATACCGCAGCGCAGCTTGTGATCGCGTTTCGTGGCTGTCGCTGATCCAACGATCTCATAATGATGATGAAACAAAGATCCCTGCGACAATATTCACGTGACCGAGTCCTCGTGTGTCACGCTTCAAATTTTATCTGTTCATTAGCCAATCTCACGAGTTCACATTAGAATGATGAAACAAATCTCATTTCGATTTCTGTAGGTTGATTTGATGACTCATATGACTTACTTTTCGGACATTTTATAGAAGAAAAAAACGGAATATCACTCATTTGTCTTTATTTCTCTCGTTTCTTCATTACATACTAATTACATTATAATGCATGTGATATGTACAAACGAGTTTGTAATAAGCTGAGAAGCAGGTAAAGGAAGTCTTTTATTCTCCGTCGTTTAACGATTGGAAATATTATTTCGATTATGCATCATAATTGAAACGGTTTTTTTCATTGTTAAATGTGTTAAATTAAACTGTATTTTCTTTTTTAAGACTATTAATCTTTTAAATGATACAATAAATGATAAGTCCGTTGTAATTTTTAATTGGATTATTTTTGGTTATTAAAATAAAAATATCTAATAAAAAAATTAATTAAGGTGTGTAATTGAAGTGATTAATTCTGCTGTAAGATATTATACATTTTACATCCATAATTTTATATATAATATTATGTAATTTTATATAAATTAGTTACTACAAAAGATAACTTAAAAAAATATATTTTTTTAAAGAATATTTTACGCATATAATATTATAAATATAGAATATTATATATATTTTTAAAAAAGAGAGAAATATATTTTTAAGCTATTTCTCGTAATAACTAATTTACATAAATATTTCATAGCAAACTGAAGCGTTCTCACAAAACACTTTTTGGGAGCAATAGACCCTTTGAAATTTAAACTTTGTCTTCAGATTATGTTAATTAGTCACATATGATGAGCATAAAAGGATATAAAAAGAAATTAATTTTTAGATGATAATTCAGCGATTTAATATAGCACGCACTGAGGGTATGTGCGTGAACACGTGCGCGCTCACGTGTACGGCTTCGCTTTGTTTTCAGAACAATATTGGACACGAAGTACAATCTAAAAAGATGGCAGATCGGTGAAATCGCCAGCAAGATCGGTCAGCTCTACTACCACTACTACCTGCGTACCAGCGAGACGAGCTACCTGCACGAGGCCTACTCGTTCTACGCAGCGATACGCGGTCGCGCCTATTACAGCCGCGCTGCTAAGGAGGACAGGAGCGATCTGATGGTGAAGAAGCTCAGGTACTACGCCCGCTTCATCGTCGTCTGCCTCCTGCTGAACCGTATGAAGCTCGTGCGGGAGCTCGTGCAGGAGCTCGATGCCCAGATAGCCGATTACACCAGCACCTACGAGCCGGACGATCAGCTCGAGTGGAACCTCGTCCTCGACGAGATCAAGGCCTTCGTCAAGGCCGAGTCCGCGGTCGGTGTCCTACACTCGGACTCGAACCCCATCGTGTTGACCCACAGGCTCGGTCCGCAGACCTGCCCGCCCGTCGAACGATCGCCACCCATGTGCCTATCTCTTCAAGAGATCCTAATAGTCGGCAATTGCGCCGATCAGGTGAAGTTCAGTGAGTTGTCGATGGACATGTTTAGAATGCTGCAGACGCTCGAGCGGGAGCCTAGGGACGACCCGAATCACCTGCACGACGCCTCGCCGGCCGGCCGGATGCCCTTTAGACCTGGACCCTATCCTGGACCGGAGAACGGCGCGCCGAGACGCGACAATCCGCACAAGTACCTGCTGTACAAGCCAACCTATAGCCAGGTGCAAGTGTTCCTCGCGAGTGGCTTCAAGGAGCTACCGGCGAACGGCGCGTTACTGCTGTACCTGTCGGCGGACGGCTGCTTCTCCACCGTCAAGCACCCCGAAGAAAGTGAGTGTTTAATCGAGCCCTTACGCAGACGCCCTTGTCGTTCGCTCTATCGTTGTGCTGTCGCAAGTTTATAGGCGTTTATAGACGTAAATCCCTTTCTTTTAAATAGAAGATCTGCTGAAAATAAATCTTGAAGTAAGGGTGACATGCATCTTCCATAAATTGTTCATCCAATTTGTCGCTCGAACGAAGTGGGATAGCTAATTTCAGGCTGTATTATTGATAAATTATCTTTGTATGTCACTTAGAAAAGTTAGGGAATTAAGTGGAAATGCTTGATAAATTAATGTTTAAATAGCTTTTACTTGCTTCGTTACTGAAGATAACTTATCATTCATGGGTCATTTAATAATACACAAATATTACACGAGAAAATACAATATATTTAAAAGATTAAAGATAGGCAATGTGAAATGACAATTTCGGTTGAAAAATTTTAAATAAAAATTTTAAATTTTAAATAATTAGAAATTATATTAAGATAATTAGTATTTTTTAATAGAAAATTATATATATTATTCTTACGTGTTATTTTCTCATTAATTTATTAATAAACATTTTTTATTAAAAAGTGTCAGAATTAGCGCGCGATGTAAAAAAGTTCTGAAATTTTTATTCGCATTAGTATTTTTATATAAAAAGAAAATTAAAGCGAATGAAGCTTTCCGCATGAAGTGGAATGCAACATTTCAATACAGAATTTTGATGCGAATTAAAAACAATTTATCATATCAAGGCAGAAAACAATCAAATAAACAATCAAATAAATAAAAACATAATAACGTGCAATCAATGTGTTGCAAAATTATTCTCTCGATGCTTTTCGTACATTTACGTGGCCGAAGAACTTCGTATTGGGGTTCACGACTTCGTATTGGGGGGTCACGAGTTACAGAGTTACAACCAACTGACCCAACGGGTCATTCTCACCTGGACTTCGTTGTCACGCAGAATCGTTTGGCTTGCGGCCGATGCGGATCATTACGTCGCGCTTGAGCGCTATCAATCCCAAGTATCGGGTCCCACATTTCACGCCCTGCAATCTCGGGTCCGCCAAGTCCGTTCCCGCTCCGCTTGAGTCGATCGCGCGCCAGCACAAACGGCGGTCACCCAAAAGTGATCACTGATACAGAGCGGCCCGTTGTACAGTCATGCGGAGTTAAAGCGAATCACCCGCTCGGCGAAGCCGAAGGCGTACGCGTGTCGGTCTTTTCGGCCAGTTTCCCCGGTCGGCAGTCCGGCACTTTGGCCACCGACGATATCATCATGGAAGTGGCTGGCTGGGTTTCCCGTGTTCCCTCAATTGGAACGGCCACGACACGATATAATCCGTGCGACATCGTGCTCGCAGCCACGTGCTTTGTATACGTGTACACACGAGCATCTCCCGAAACGTCGCCTGTATCGAACGAACCGCACGGAGAGTGGCCCAGATCGACTGAAAAGTATTCGAAAGTGGGACTCTTTAAAACAAAATCTAGCTTGACGTTTCGCAAATTCACAAAGAGACTGTTCTGAAAAACTTTTTGTCCAAATTGATATGTATATGCATTTTATTGATCTACTGGCATCGTTAAAAGAGAAAACAAAATGTTTATAATAAGATCCGAGCGTATTTTTATTTGTCGTATGCTCATCGTGATTTCGTACCGGATGCATATTTCGTTCGTTGACGATGGTACTAATAGTAGCAAAATACTTTTAACGATTTCAAGAAAACATATAAATGTTGTTTTACTCTTTCCATTTGTAGAGAGGATTTTAAATAATATGCATGTGTTTCATGTATTTTATCGCAAAGTATTCCTGGAAACTGTTTTTAAATTTAATATATTCGAGGAATAACATGAGAGATGCATGCAAATGTCTAATTAAATATATAAATTCTATAAATGATTTATTAACATAAATTCTAAGAATAATTGGCAAATTCTTATTATATTCGAAAATAGAATATAAACTTTAAATCTCCAGGGAGACTTCTGCTTTTTAATAAATTTCTGTGTCCTTATTGTTTTACTTAATTAATTAGCTTATTTTACGTCAAATTTGCACGTGGTTTATTCGTAAAGAGAAGTAATTACTAAAATTAAAATTATATTATAAATATTTATTATATAAATATTAATTATTTATCCGCATGTAACTTTGATTGGCTTTAAAGTTAGAATTGAACGTTATGTCTTAGATCAAGATTACATATTGGTCGCCACTGCAGCGAAGATCCTTAAAGGAAAATAGAGTATCGTCCCAGTATCAAGGCTGCTTCGTAATAAAGATTCGTTTCATAGCGAATCTGGCTTTGCAATCAATATCAATGTATTAGAAACCAGGAGTCCATCGATTACAATAATTGATAACATAAATAATTCCACGACTTTTGCTTATTGATGGAACTGCTTCGAAAAGCTCATATAAAAATTTTAGAACGTTTGCTTATGCTTAGAATTAAAATATTGGTTACGGTGAATGATGGCAACATTGGGGAAAGTCATATACAAATTCTTCGTTTCATATACAAATTACCATTTATGTCAAGAACATCTGAAAATTTCATTGTCAACATATAATATCAAAAACGAGAGCACTTATAATTTAATGCGATAAACAACTGAATTTTTTATTTAAAAAATTTTTAATTTTTAAAAATCAAACAATATATTAAATAACATGAATAACGAAATTTTCTCATTTAATTAAAATTCACATATAACCTCCTTTCCATTCTTGGAATCGCATGAAAATTAATTAATGCGACATTAAAAATTTGCCAATTCCGAAAAGAAGCGGTCAACAAATTTTTGTTGTGAGAAATATTATTTCGAGATATATTTCATTCGGTAAACACGTATTTGTATTTCGATTATGCGTCTCGCGACGCGTCAAATAAATTGAAATTCCGAAGTTTCCTCAACGTTGCCGACATCCATTTGTCGGATCGGCGAACGCAGAATTGCACGATGTTGATAAAATCTTGCGATTTCGCAGTGGGGTACGACCTGGGCGGCGTGTCCACGTGCAGCAAGAGGGATCCAGAGCACGGGAAGAGGCCGGCCGGCGGCAAGGAGCCGCACTGCCTGTACCCTGGCGATCTGTATCCCTTCACCAGGAAGCCGCTCTTCGTCGTCGTCGACTCGGACAACAGCTTCGTGTTCCAGCAGATACCGCGTTACTTCGGTCAACCACTGATGGTGCTAATGTCGCCGCAGGACGTGCCGCCGACTTTGCGCGATCTGCGACACGGTGGCAGCCTGTTCACCCTCTTTCTTCATGCCCCCCTCGCCGCCTTCTGCCTTATATGCAACATCGGGAGCCTGCCCGTGCAACATTGGGAGCGCTGCCAGCGTCACATCGAGCGATTTCTTAACGAGGCCAGTCAGCTCGTAACGCGTTCCCGATGCGGTAAGGATATGCGCTCGTCGCGACCGACTTGCCTGAAGCGTCGATCGGACAAAAGCGATCCGATGAGAAACGGGCTCGACAGTGGAGGAAGATGAATTCCAGGAGATCTAATCGATCGGAATTTCTTTCGTTGATCGGCTAAAAAAATGACATCATTGATGAGAAGATCATTGGAGATCGCAGACGAACATTTATATTCAGTCTTAAAATAGGAGTAATTAACTTATTAGGCACTAATTGTCGAATTAAAAAATGTCAAAATATTTTTATTGATATTCTGATTTTTGAAAATCTACCGCAATTTAAGATGAAATGTTTCTAAGCAGGATCGCTTCTAAAAAACGCGTATAAAATCGAAAAAGATTTATTCAAGTTGATCAGTATATCGCGTGGCACTAAGCGAAGGGCGAGCAAAATTAAGATTTTATCGCCAAAATGAGGGCGTGTTCGTTGTGCAGCAGCAGCCGTCTGGCTCATTGAATGCGACTTACGATCGCGTTACAACAATAAATGCATTTGGCCTAGATCCAAACGAATTTATCGGCGAGAAACTCCCGTTTCTCGATTTCTGCGTGTCTCTTTAACTCCTGAGCTAAGGGATACCTATTATCTTTATCGAGATAAATTGATATTATATCACGAGCTGTTTGCTGCCTAAATGTTTCCGCGTTTGCTTCAAAATACGATCAGAAAATTTCTTTTCCTCACAAATTTCCTTGAACGAGCTCAGAAAGAAAGAAAAAAAAAAATTCAAGAATTCCAGCAAATCAAGCTCGAAGACGTCGCGTATCTTTATATGTAAGGAAAAGGCAATTATATTGCCTTTCTCATTCGTTTATTTCACGCCACTTCTAGAACAACCTGTTAAAAAGCTCGACTCGAGACATCGGAATCTAAGAAAATTAAAAAGTTGCAGAACATTTTCTCATCGAAGCTTTATTAAGACCAAATGTAAAGAAAAATATACGCGTATTTATTTTATGTCGCAAATTAGGAAAGAAACCGACAAACTCTCAAAGAGCATCCTCCTCCACCAGATCGAATCGTTCCCGACATATCACGTAATTCTACTCATGATTTTGCAACTCGTAGAGACCAGCGTGCTGCAGTTCTTCGGCGACGACTTTCTGCGGTTGCTGCTGGTGCGTTACGTGTTCTGCGACGTGGTGTTGAACCTGCACCGGTCGTTCAGGGGTCGTCAGCAGAGGCCGCGTTGCCATCCGCCTCTGCCGGACGCGGAGGTCCTCGAGCACCCGAATCTCCATCACCTGGTGCTCGACCTGGCCGCCTGTCTGGACGTCCGCGACCACTTTCCGGACAGCAACGAGCTCGCCTGACCCCGGCATTTACCCTGCTCGGCCCCCGACACGACGTCCCTGTTACCATCTCACAACCACGATTACGATTACGATTACTGTAATTATAATTGCAACAATAAAATCGTTACACTGAGACCTCATTAAACCGCGTCTTCGCAGTAATCGCGTATTCGAGATCGCGCGGCCGTGTGTCCGTCAGTGAGATTCTGAGCCTTCAGGGACCCGGGGACCCGGATTCCCTTCCCCCAGGAACTTGGGCGCGGTGCGACACCGAGGCATACGACATCCGCTCCACCGATTTCGCGTAATCGCCGGACGACGGGACTCGCCCTATACGGGACCGTCCGATTATAATACGACAACGCTGCGAGAATGCTAACGATGAATCCATCGAGATACGATTTGGCGATCGAGCGAGTGTTGCTATCACACACCGACGCTTCGGACTGATAATGTAAAGAACGAAAACTACTGCTTTTTGATTTCTTCAACAAGTTACACACGTTGAAAAATGCGTTCGAATGCTTGAACTGTAACATAGGTATATATGGAGTGGCAATATAATTTTCGTACGAATAACAAACACATCCCCCGATATTTGCATCTCTCTTTGTCTCGCATTCGCATCGTGAAAGCGCGTTTCACCGTCCCCGCGCCGTTTCGTGCGATTCAAGATAAAGATGCATCATGCATCGCCGTCGTTCGTCGTCGTCGTCGTTACGGTCGCTCGCGATCGGCCGAGCGTCACCCACGCGCGTACAGCAACGTCTCTTCTCCTCCGCTCGTTTATTTATAAGCAAAAAGTAGAGCGCGGTCTACGAGCGCTTAGGAGTTTGACGTTAACCGTACGGATGACGACTCGCACGGGATGAGCGAGCGGCCATGCGAGTCGGAAGATTATCGAAGAAATTGCTAGGCGCTCACTTGTACATGCGATCACTTCCCTCCCTGAACGACACCACCTATATCGGATCTTTAGCGGCCGTATGAACGTCGAGTGAACGTCATTATAGGACTCCTAGTGTAACACACAGCACACAACACACACAACACACACACACACACACACACACACACACACACACACACACACACAGAGAGAGAGAGAGAGAGAGAGAGAGAGAGAGAGAGAGAGAGAGAGAGAGAGAGAGACAGTGTATTATATATTTACTCGTACACACGTAACACATACATACACAGAACACATGCTGTATATTCTATATATTTTATAAAGTATTGCAAAGTATAGAGCGTTTCAGACCTACCGGACCATCTTTCAATCGTGGGAATCGTTAATGAATTTCGAGCGGAGTTTCTCCTCGCGAGGACTCAATCGTGCAGCACCGTCCATCATTTAGTTTTATAGATTAAAAATATCTTGGCAATCAAGCTGAATTAAAAGTAAATCTTACTTGAGATTAGTTGAGAAACGGTATTTCGTTATTTATCTATACTCATGAAACTTTAATTTCTATTTGTTCATGTCTCAAGAGCTATTGGCACTCTGCATCGAGATCTTTGATAGTCAAAATAACGTGGTACGTCTGGAACACCCTGTATAATACGCCAAGGATATCGAAGAAAAAAGAATATTATATATAACGTTTGTATAACGTTTTATACAGGATGTCCCGTAATGAGTAGTACAGGAAGGTGGAGAAGGAAGAGTCATTTTATACAAAAATAAATCAGAAATGTAGGCTAAATTTTTATTTTGCACGAGACTTCGTTTCTAAGAAAATGAATCTCGAAAATTAAAGTATTAATAACTCTTGCATCTTACGAAGCTCATCGACTATGATCGATTTTGATTTATTTTTGTACGCGAAATCAACCCCTCGGTTTTTACCACTCATTACTGAATACTCTGAATATATATGCAGGGTGTCACAGAATTATCATCGTTTTTACTATCATTTCTCGATTAATTTGAATCACTTTTTATTAAGAATGCAAAGTTCATTAGTGCAACGCGTACCGATTTTTATACACTCTCTTTACATTTATTTATTGCAATTGAAAAATGTAGATGAGGCCGCACCTTTACGGTGCGGCCAAATTTTTACTTGTGATCAATCTTTCAGTACGTAGATATGAAAGATGTGCCGGTAATCTACCAAATACACGTGTATATACTGCGGAAACATCGTCCGTATATACAGAGCTACGCGAATATGTACAATTACAAACAGCTTTCGAGAAGAATGCAACGCAGCTGCGTCTTTCTCTACGAATTATTTTTACATTGACCGAGGCGCATTAACAGAGTCGACAGTAGTCGCTTAGGTATCACCATCATCATCAAGCCATTGTATCGCGGTGCTGGCATCGAGTGCCAAGATGTGACACAATCGCCGAATTCATGTTGCCGCGCATGACGTCTGCCTTTATATCTTTCTTTATACCAACGCTCGCGCTGCGAGAGAATGCTGCGCGTCATCGCAGCGAGATTGTTCGAAAGGAAAAATTTCACTTTCAAATCAAATCACGCAATCTTTTCGTTTTTCTGCCATCTCAAGTCGAAACACTTCCCTGCTTACAAAAAAAAAAGAAAAAAAACAAAAAAACAAACAACGTACAGCTTTAATCCGGATTCGTCGGACTCGTGTCTGTTTTATTCCAGCTGCGAGGGAGATTCTCGAGGAATAATTAACAAGCGGAGGAAACGGAAGAGTTTCTCCGAGAGTCAAGGACCGCGCGCGTGCTCGCGTAAGGATCATATCTCTTCGACTTTTTCTCCCTTAATCCTGCAGCGCGGCGTCTCGGCATTTTAATCGCGTTTACTAGTCACTTTGCCCGCGTTAACTGCAGCGAGAAGTACTTAGAGAAGAGCGGCTTTATATATAATTAAACAACGAGGGAGATTGAGTCGCGTGAAAGCGCTACCGCCTTTCGACCTTCCTCGATAATTAAGACACCGGTAAGTGACGCTAACGCAACGTAGAATACCGCAGCTGTACCCTAATTCCGCGTCGCGTTAGCGACGTCTCGTCGACGTCATTTATTGTCGAGAGATAACGACGGCGGTAGGTTCAAGTGGGTTCTGGGTACGTTTTCACAGTCACGTCGATTCGTTTTTCTTCCTCGATAACTGAAGATACCAACATACCTTGTTAAGATACGTTACAAAATACTTGCTCTTGGTACTTTGCCAATCACAAGGTGAATTCTCTCCGCGCGATTTTTTTCTACGTTTACCAAAGCGGGACCAAGCGAAGAAGAGGAGGAATCAGTCCGATCAGTCGCCGAACCTTTCGGCCACGCGCGGCGATACACCCGTGGTGAAAATTTGCCGCGACAGTTTGCGTGGACCGCGGGATGCACCAGGTGATCCGATAGCTCGAACGGTCCGAGACAGTGTCGTAGCCCGCCGAATACCAGAGGCTGCTATAAATAATCCGATGTCCGTCCCGGTCGCGCTCGCGATGGGCGGTCGAGGGTACAGAAGGGAGTCGCCTAGGAGCCGCTGCAGCGGGCTGCTCTAGCAACCGCTCAGCCTCCTTCTCTGCCTCTCCCTCTATCTATCTATCTATCTATCTCTCTCTCTCTCTCTCTCTCTCTTCCTCTTTTTATCTCTCCCTCTTCCCTTCGATCGAGAGGCGAAGGGTATTTCGTGGACGACGTCTCGGGAGGAACAACGAAGCGTCATCATCGTCGCCGTCGTCGTCGTCGTCGTCGTCGTTTCTTGATCGTTGACCAGGTAGGCAGACAGGTAGAAAGAAGGTAGGAAGAAGGAGACTGGAGGTGGATTAGTACCGGACCTCCGTGTGCTCCGGCCGCGGCGTCTCTCCGGGGGTGGGGATGGAGCCGGAGCAACGAGGACGCGCTTCGCGAGCGTCGTCGACGTCGAGCCTCGGACGCGAGGTCCGTTGCGGATGTCAGTACTACCAGAGCGACTCGCTTCTGCCGGAACGACGTGCTCTCCTTGTCAGACCGTCATCCAGGACGATGCAGCAGCCACCTGCGGTCCGCTGCAGGTCAGTATCCCCCTACGCTCGTGTACACCGATCGTGTACACTTCCCCGTTCAAGTCGAATCCGGCCGGGGTTTCATTCGCTGACCCACCACCCCCGCGGACAACAGTCGACAAACGTTAAGGTTGTCTCTGAGTCACAGGGAGATTATCCGTGTCCATCTCATCTCTGATATCGCGCATCGGATAGGTTACACTCGTGCGAAACCACGTCGCGGATCGCCGTAGCTATTTAAGGTTCGCCCGGGTGGCTATAGATAGAAAGCTCGGTCAGCTCCCAAATCCGCCAAGTCCAGTTTCCCGTCTGCGACCCGCGTGTCCCGCATCCGCGTACCGGTCCACGGCGCGCACGCTGCGACGTCCCCGGGATGGACATCTGACGGAACCGTGTTACACTGAACAGATCGCGTTTGTGCATCGAACAGTTCAAAATAATATTATTCAACCAGTCGAAACCCCGGCGTTACGGAGAAACAAACTACTCTTGTTGCTCATTGGTCAAAATGCAATGATATGAGATACAACGCGAAAGAAACAACAGATATTCAAAAGAGAGAAGTCATCTAAAAAATGTTTAATATTTCAAATACTTTTTTTTACAATATTTTTATCATTTTGAAACTTTCTTCATAAAAAATTTAAATTTATCGAATTTATGTCACTTTTGAGCCTTGATTTATGTAGATATCGTGAGAGCTTTTTGGGTATAATCGAATTTTTCGCATCAAAAAGTTATGAGTGGTATGTTCGGAGAACTGTGGAGATATAAAACGTTATAAAAGGTCAATGGAAAACGTATGGAGTGGACATCATTTAAAGGAAAAGTATAATATCGACTGTTCGATTTTAAAATAACGAACATGACGCGAAACGACATGGGAACATGTATCAGTTGATGAGTTCCGTTTGGACGACATGATCTCTCCGATGTAGGTACTCTGTATAATTCCATCCTCGCACTCGTTTACGTCGGTCTCGTGAGATTAAAAGAAGGTCAAACATGTGAGATAATGCGTCATCTTCGAGAGAGGAATGAGAGAAAATGAAAGATATATAAAACCAAGTCTAGACCGTTTAGACTAATCAAATGATAAATTTCGCGGTGCCAGTATTATGTCCCTGTTACAAGTTGCGATAACTTATTCAATATTACATATTATTAAATATCACAAGAAAATTTAAAGTAAATCTTATAAATGCTTCTTGTCGTTTTTCATCATGTTACATCGCTGTCTGCTTTCTGTCGAATGTAACTATTTCAGATTGCATTTGCGATGTTAACACGTTCACCGCGACTCATATAATAATATTTATCATAGACGATTCGACATTTCGATGAAACGTAACGGAAATATTGCTTTCCTAAATATTTTGTTGAGGATACGTCCCAGAATACCCGAAATTTAATGCATCGCGAAGACGCGAAAAGTAAACGTACTTATTAATTATTTATTTAACAAACGCAATTTAATTTATACGCAATCGGTCCCGCGATGTAAGCGTAAGAATTCTCCCTGCAGTGAGCACGATTATGAGCCGATCGCGCCGCCGATGCCACATCCGGCGATGGCACCGGTCGTGCGAATCACCGATACGGACGTGATGCCCGTCGCCGACAGCGACGACAGCATCGACGATCAGGGCCGACTGCCACCGGAACTGATCCTGGATGGCGATGTGATCCTTCCGTTGGATGGAAAAATCGAGGACACCGCGATGGAGGGCCGCGAGCTCGTCGCGACCGGCGACACCTCCGAGGAGCAGGAACCCACGGCGCAGCAGTTTCAGGACAGGCTTGAGGAACGATTTCTCGCATCCACTCCCTATACGGAGTCCAGGACGACCGACGGCGAGGTCAATACCAGTCAGGTAGAGTCAAATCTGGCTTGCTTGAACATTTACGGGGAGGAATACACGAGGAAAAGGAATTTGATAAAGAGATAAAAAGATTTGATTGTCGCGATAAAATCTGATCTACGAAGACGTTGATAAAGTTTGTCTCATAAAATAAGCTTTAAAATTCAGTCAATATAATATCTAACGAGAAATTTCTATATTAGGAATGTAGAAACGTAGAAAATATTTAAATATAAATATTTAAATATAAATAACATTAATTGACGCGATCTTATAGTTTTTTCTCTTTTATAAAGTATGTATATATTTCTTCTTATTTATGAAATGTACAATCTGTTTTCTAATCTAAAACGGTGCTTTAACTTTTATATCTCGTTCAGATAATAACATAAATCGGTAAATCGATATTCATTGGCCGCGGTTGCTGCGAAGGCACCTCGTTCGCGAATTGAACAAAAGGGAATAAAATAAAAAACGGTTAAATATAGCTGCCGCACGAATCGATAGAGACCCCCGGAATTTAAAAGCGCCACGAAGGCTCGCGGGAGCTGATCTTGTTGTCTTCGGTTTGTTACTCGCGCCGAATGGCGCCTATATTTAGCGAAACTCGCGTGTAAAAAGGAGGCGCAAACACGAACGTGTCACTATCCGATTGTGCAATGCCGCCGCTCGCAATACGCTCCAGAAAACCCGGGCTTCTCCATCGATTGCGTAATCGCATCCAAGAATATATATGGCGCCGTCCGAATATTAATCATCTCTCGGCCTTGCCGATATTTTTCAATGAGGACGTGAAGTCATAAAGTCGCGCAAATCCGCGTCCCATATCAACTCGCGAAAATCTCCGCGATTTATTTCGGATCCGACAATAGATTCGAAATAGATTCCAAACCTGACGATGGCTTACTTCGCGATTTACTTCACAGTACCTTAAAATATTCACTTTTAATGCACCTCGCGTGTCTCTAAATGGCATTGCATTCGAATGCTTTGCACGACACTAATCCATTTTCATTGTGATCTTAAAATGAGCTATTTAATAATATTTTAATATTTCAATAGTATTTGCTTCTCTTATGCTCAAATAAAAGTTCCCTATTGCTCAATATTAAATAATCTACAATACAGAAATCTTAACTTTTGGTTATTATATTATACGTGATGTACCAATTTGAAATCTTGAACGTATCTTATACATACTCTTAAAAAAGCAGAGAAATAAATGTCATTAGTATTTTCAGGTATGTTATAATTTGATATCATTCATTAAAAATTGAAACCAGTCAAGAACACTTTATATACGCTAGAAAGAAATAGGTAGAAATAGATCGATTTATCTAATTACTAAATCTTAATATAACTTAAATTGACGGCATTAAAGAAAGAATATTTTCCCAAGAATTATCGAGAAATTATCGTTTGCATATACAGAATAATTTTTTTTAGAAATTTTTAAATAAATGAAAATTTGCATCGTAGATAATTTTTCAGAGAAGCATTCGTCATTACAGGTAGACTCGTCGGCGATAGAAGAGCTGCCGCTTCGGCGCGGCGCTCGTGGCCTACCTCAACGCCTGAAGACACAAGCTGGCAAGCTACGCTCTCGGCTCCGTGGTTTCCAGCGGCCCACATTCTCGTTCCCGCAAAAACGGCAGAAGCCCGAAATAACGACGACGACGACGACGACGACGAGATCGGCGGCGGCGAGCAGCGGCAAGTCGGACAAGTCCCGCAAGTCCGTGGAGAAACGGCCTAGCAGAATTGACCGGATAAGAATGTCCATCTCCGAGAAAACAGGAAAATTCAGTCTGCCCGACAGGTCCAAATTTCACCTGCCGGAAAGACCGAAGTTCAGCTTTCCCGACAAATCGCGCTTCCACTTGCCGGATAAGTCGAAGTTCACCATCAAGAAGCCCAACATTCGTCTGCCCGGCGCCCTCGCTCGCATCAAACGATCGTCCTCCATGCGCGAACAGCAGCAACAGCATTCGACGGAATCCACTGCTGGCTCCAAGCGCAATATCTTTGACTTCGCCACGTATCCGCGCATTTTCGATAAAAAATCCAAGAAGCGTGGCGAGTACGCGACGTCCTCGCCCAAGGACTCCAGAGCCCAGTCGGCAGAGAGCGCGACCTTCCCTCGCGCTCGGAAGGGGAAGTTCACCGCCAGATGGACGCAACGTTTCGGGGACGCGGCTTACGTTCAGGACGAGGATCGTCCGGAGGAAGCGACGGCAGCTGGAAGCGACGGCTCTCCTCCGTGGCAACAAAGCTCGATGGAGGAACCGCCGAGACTGTCCGCCAGAACGGAGGAGGAGATACTGGCGGCGGCTCGCGCGATTCCGTGGGAGGACGCGAGAAAACAAGAGCAGTACGAAGAGGAGGAGATACAATACATGGACTACGAGCAGGAATCGTCAGAAATGTCGGAGCGGCATCCCGCTCCTCCGAAACGATCCCATAAGTCACGAAGACGCGAGGAGTCATACGAACATGAAGAAGCGATGGAGGTAGAACCAAAATTATACGACGATCAAGGAGTAAAACTTGTTCATCAAGATGATATCGAAGAGATCGAAAATGCGGCCGCACGAGACGATTGGCATATGGATCAGCAGATGATGCACAAGAAATTCAGAACGATTCCAAGGTCGCGATCGTTGGACGAGGACATGCCGCGGGTTCTGGAACAAGAAGGATACGAGGAGGCTTTCATGGCGGTGGACCCGAGACGATTTGGACCGCATAAGGCAGTGTCCGATGAGGAGGAAGGCGAAGAGGAACACGAGCCTTCCTCGATACAATCCGATCGGGAACAGCAAGCGTCCAGCGGCAGTTCCTGCGATCGAAGACGTCGTGGCGTGATAGAAGAAATCGACTCGGACGAATTCTTTCTGCGACAGAGCGGTATCAGCCAGGATGACATGAACCTGGACAATTACTTGCCCGATGAGATCCGAGATGCTCTTAGATCAGAAATCATCAGCGCGTTGCAGGACGACGAGCTTCCACCTATTCCGCCCCAACGTCCTGTGAGAATGCGAACTCTAAGGAAGCATAAGGAAGTGGAATCCAACGAAGCGGCACCGCCGATCAGACCGAAACGGACGAGATCGACAGCAACGCGACACAGTCGCGAGGCATCGATCACAGACGAACAGCTGTTTCGCGAGCGCACCAGAAGTGACTCCAGAAGCGATTCCAGACACCGCGTGGTGTATCAAACGGAGGGGGATCAAGCGGAGCCACTGCAGGAGCCATTAGATGACATAGTCGTGGTGAAACCGGTGCGCAGAAAGTCAAGGTCATCCTTACGCAGTCACTCGCAGCCGCCGATGGAGGTATCGATACTGTCTCCTTCGACACCCGTCACTGTTGCGCCCGACTCGTTTACAGTCCTTCCAACCACGCCACCGATCGTACCTATACGTAGAAAACGCTCGCATCGGGAAACGATGATGGACCGAAGAAACGGCGATGTGGGTGCGCCAATCTGCAACGGTCATCATGACGAGTGGGAGATGGAGATCGTGGAATCAAAGAAGCCGGTGGTTCCGACGAGATCATCACGATCGCGCGATCGTGAGCGATTCGCCAACGGCGACGTCATTATGTCCGCGAGTCACGAGAACATCGACAACCTGGAGATGCGGTTTCAATCGGATGCCGCGCCGGAACCAGTACCAATACCACCGAAAAGACGATCACGCTCAAGGACCACGTCGGTCGTCGCCGACGAGGACAGAACATCGCACGGCGCGGAATCTTTGCCGGAGGTCGGCTATGTTGAGGAAGACATACCGCGGGAGGACGAGAACGGCTCGGTGCGAGACCTCTTCGGTTATGCTATTGTAGAAAAGCGAGAGAAGCCACCTAGACCGCCACCACCCAGAAGAAAACGCGACAAGTTTGCCACAACGCCGAGACCGATCCCGCCTAAGCGACCTCAACGAGCGTACAGCACTTTGGGACCCAGCAGAAAGAGAGACATCAGCACGGCGGAGACGATCATCAGCACAACTCTAGTACCAACTGAATCCGTGCCGTACATCGAGATCGACGCGGAGGAGGTTGAGCATCGAGATTTCCGTAGTGATGAATTACTCAACAAGATTCAAGGCCGTCCGCTGCCGGCGCCACCGCGGCCACCCAGGGCGAGGAAGGAACACGCGATCGGGCGACCTCGTACTCCGTTTGAATACGTAGAGACAATGGAGGTGACGGCGGCAACGCAGACCGATCCGTTGCCGGACGATATGGTGATCGAGGAGATCACCCAGGCGAAACTCGTAGTGACGCCTTCCAGGTCGGGGTCGCAGATAATGGTGTCGATGGAACGTATACCCAGCCCAAGCGAAACGACCACGCCTCCCGTACCTCCGTTGCCAATGTCACAGTGTCTACGGAAAGACGAAGAAGAAGAAGAAGAAGAGGAAGAGGAGGAGCGGCATCTAGAAGAGGAAGATATTCGAATAACATTTGATACGGTGTCCTTGACATCACCATCACCTACCAGAGAAATCGAGCTGAAAGACAAACATAGATCAGCGCCGCATTTGGAGGAACGTATCGCGGAAGAATCACAACCTCAACCACAATCACAACCTCAAGTTAGGTCGAGTCTATTAGCCGACGACACGCTGAGAATCAGCAGCCTCGAGGTTGGAGATTTAAAGGTCGATCGACTGAGCGTATCGCAAATAGAAGCGCACAAAATCATGACGTCTGAAGTGGATGCGATGATGATCACGGCGTCGGAATTGAGAGGCGGCGGTTCCATGGAAGAGAGTTTGTCGCCGGCCATCATCAGGGAATTGATGGCGATCAGGAGTCATCTGGAGACTGTGGCGACTCAGGCGCAAGAAAGATATCGTGAGAGTGAGAAGGAAGCCGCGAGTCACAAGACAATCGACGTTTCTATCGAAGATGATATTCAACTTCGCGAGAGGCAATCTGTTGCGCAGGACAATTCGTCGGAAGAGACGGCGAAGCCCAGCGAGACCGTCGTGACTGAATCTGCGCCTACAGAAGACGAAAAGATCGAGGCTGGCGAGGATCAAAAGGTTGTTAAAACAAACGTAATAGATGTCAGGGACAAAGAGATATCACACACTCCCTCAATTGCTCAAACCGAAGAATTCCCTTCCCCACTTAAGACACTTACCATAGATGAGTTAGAATCCAAGGATAAAGACAAATCCACCACGCATTTGCTCACGGTCGCTCAAGATAAGTCCTTACGAATTTTAGATTCCGAACACCTCCTAACTTTGAGTTCGCGAACCACGTCGGGCTCCCACGTGGATGAATCTCGTGCCTCATATCCTCCGTCGGATGTGCCTTCAACTCGATCCTCCGAATCGAGAGAGTCGCCGGAGCACGTCGGCGAATCTCCAAATAGTTCTGTCCAGACTGCTACCACTACTATTACTACTGCTACTGCTACCACTACTGCTACTGCTACTGCTACTGAGTTGGGCACGACGTCTACGGGTCTTCGTGGCAGCAAGGACGATGTGTCCGATAGCAAAGAACAGACCCCTCGCAAGTCGAGATCTAGATCCCCTTCACCTAGCAAAGGTATCGTGCGGCAAACCGCGTCTCCGGTTCGTTCATTGCCACCAGCTATTTCCGTGACTCCTGATACGCCCGATTCGAGTATACCGGGGCATGGTGGTACTCCCATGGACGCTAAACCGCAGCGTGCCGTCATTTCCTATTCTTCAGATGCAAAACATAGTGTCCCTAAAGACGCTGAGCCACAGCGTGCTGTTATTTCCCATTCTTCCGATATGGAACAATCCCTTAGAGATAAGCAAAGGGAGTCCTCTCAATCGCCAGTATCCTCTTTTCCCTCGAGCACGACTCACTTCATCGCCTTTCCAGTTTCCGAAATTCCAACTCAGTTCTTTTCTCTGAGTGAAACGCCAATGAATCAGCACTCCGATACAGAACTCGGCGTTATAGATACTACGCAGCAGCTTCTTCGAGCTCTCCGATTGGCTGGGATAAAGGCCATGAGGCATTTTATAAGGTACCTAACATCTACGTTAAATACGGACGACACGAGAGAAAAGATCAGAGAAGTGGAATTAGCCATATGCGCCTTATTACTTCTCATAGCAGGCTTGTTGATATATTATTTCAGTAGCACGCGGATTGTAACGCATCATCATCATTGGGATTATTTTAATCCCCCTCAATAGCACTTCTACAATCCGGTTTGTCTACATATGTAAACGAATCGTGTAAACGAAATAATCGTAAATAATTCATTGATTCGTAGAAATAAAAATTTCATATTTTTAATTGTATAAATTTGTTTTATATAACAATTCTGTATTGAAGAAAATATCAAACTAGAACACGAAAGTAAGGAATCGGAATGGAATTATAGCTCTTGTACACATATCAGAATAAAATGAAGTACCAGGTTTGTAAGAAATTGTAATTACCATTTACTAATACATGCCAAAGATACAATTGTAAACTTTAATATTTAAAGAACGCTATTTGCAACAGTTCTTAATGTAATTTTATGTACTATATATACATCAGTTATAATAACTTATATATTTAAGAAAAAATATTATTTAATCGTATTTTTGCATTTTTTATTTGTTGCAGTGAAACAACCTTTATTCTTAATTTTTCCTTTAGAAAAAATTAAAAATAACTATATTACTTAAAAAAGCATTTTTTAAACTTTATTAGAAATATCATTCTATTATCATGAAAAATTATCTTAAATTCTCTTATCTAATTCTCTTAAATTCTATTATCATATAAAAATGTGAATAGTTTTTTCTATATATCTACATTAACATGTATCAAAAATTCTAATAGACATTGCTGATATGATTGGTAATTAATTTTGTTCCAGCTGTAACTATATAAGATTTGAAAAAACTATGGCAATTAAAAGAACAATAAGTAAAATGAATGATAATCTTTTCTAATTGAAAAAATCATTAGTAAAAAAACATAACATCTATAATCCTATTAATCAAAATCAGATGGAAGAATAATAAAAAAAGAAGGATCGAAAGACTTGGATGATTAACAAAGTTTAACTATATCATGTTTCTTTACGTTATGTAGATGAATATTTCTATGCATTATAAATTTTGTTATAAGGATTATAACAGTTTATTAGTATAAGTAGTATACAAATATGTTTTAAAAGTTCAAAATTTTGTTGGCAGATATATATATAT